GATGTTCTGCTCCTTCAGACTTTTAGCTGATGTTCTGCTCCTTCAGACTTTTAGCTGATGTTCTCCTTCAGACTTTTAGCTGATGTTCTGCTCCTTCAGACTTTTAGCTGATGTTCTGCTCCTTCAGACTTTTAGCTGATGTTCTCCTTCAGACTTTTAGCTGATCTTGTAGCTCAGTGAATGAACTCCGACTCTGGAGTTAAAGCCATCTGAATATCTCTCCGGCGGCCATCTTGAATTTTGGAGAAGCATTTAGATATTACTTTAGCTTGTTTTTTGGCTAATTACCAGATTAATGCTTTGTTTTAAAAATAGCTGATTTATAGCTCTGTTTAGCATTAGCATCAGCTGTTTGACATTAGACCTAGCTAATGTAACCTTTGACCTCCATGACCCTGACGGACTCAGGATCGTTGTTKACACACATCCTGTGGAGCTGTAAACTTCCTGTGTTACACTTAGAAGAACGTTCATTTACAGCTTCTATTAGCTTTGTTAGCATTTTTACATGCTAATTAGCTTTCAGCATGTGGCAGGGGTTGTTTTTGGCTACAACCCCACCAACAATTCACCCTTTAATTCAGCCAGTATCTTTAAATCTGATTCATTCAACGTGAAAACAACAAAATCAACAGGAAATCACTGAATTTAGTAGAGAAGATGCTGAAAAATGCTAAATAAGACTAAAAGTAGCTAAAATCAGTAAAGGAAAGCTAAAAGAATGAGAAAGAAGCTGTAGCTGTAATAAATGGTCCTCACTCTGCGTACGTTCAGCTGACCCTATCAGGCCCACCTGTCAGGTGTYGTTAAGCCCCGCCCCTTGTAATAAGGTGTGTTTACTTCCAGGCATCGCTGTGGGGCATGTTTACTACTTCCTGGAGGACGTGTTTCCCAACCAGCCCGGGGGGGGCCGCTGGCTGAAGACCCCGTCCATCATGTGAGTCTCTGCTCCTGATCTCATTCTGTCATCAGATGGCTGAATAAATCCAACATGGCCGCCTCCCACAGAAAGATGYTGTTCGACACTCCGGAGGAGGAAGACCCCAACTACAACCCCCTGCCCGAGGACCGACCTGGGGGCTTCGCCTGGGGGGAGGGGCGGCGCCTCGGAGGGTAGCGCTGTCCTGTTGGACTGCGGGGTCAGCTGCAGGCTCCAGGACCCGGGACCGTCCCTCGGACCCATGAAGGACTCGACGTGGTCTTTGTTTTCGTTGCTTGGGTTCTGGCTGCAGGAAGCCCGACGAGCAGAACTGTTTGAGCCAACGTTCTGGTGTTTGTGTTCGTGGACTTTCATCATGTTCAGGAAGTCTTCTGGGTGCCAGAGTGTGTCCCTGAGACGCACACAGACTATGGACCAAGAGTCCCTGGACTCACACGATGGTGGTCTTCATCCCTGATACAAAATATTAACATGTGGAAAAGAAACAAATGATCATTTAATTCTATAAAATCTATTCAGACCAGGAGTCTTTTTTCATTTCTCTTTTTCAAACAATAAACATGTTGCAGATGTTTTTGTCTTTTTATATTAGTACAATTTTTATTGATTAATAACACTCAAAGTTGGCTGAACCCCAAACACCATGTTGTTCAGTGACCGGTCAGACAGGAAGTGGACTACAGAGTCCACCAGGGCATTTTCTTCTTTTACGTTACCTCACAATACTGTTGTGTTACCTCACAATACTGTTGTGTTACCTCACTATACTATTGTGTTACCTCACAATACTATTGTGTTACCTCCACAATACTGTTGTGTTACCTCCACAATACTGTTGTGTTACCTCACTATACTGTTGTGTTACCTCACTATACTATTGTGTTACCTCACAATACTTTTGCGTTACCTCAATACTTTTGCGTTACCTCAAAATACTTTTACGTTACCTCAAAATACTTTTGCGTTACCTCAATACTTTTGCGTTACCTCATAATACTTTTGCGTTACCTCAATACTTTTGCGTTACCTCACAATACTTTTGCGTTACCTCAAAATACTTTTGCGTTACCTCGCAATATTGTTTTGCATTCCCACGCAAAAGTTTGATTTGTATTTGAACTGAATTAAATCAGACTTTTGTTTTG